CAACAGGAGGATGCAACACAGTGTCCGAACCCACAGGCCGAATTAGCCACGACGATCCAAACCCTGGAATCCCGACTCTTAGGCTACATGGAACACAGATGGCAGGGAGTCAGGATCAGAGGCAAACTATCCACACTCAATACGAAAGGGGCAATGGATGCACTGTTTTTTGCAATGGCCAGGACCAAAACAGGGAGAACAGTAATTGAAGCCCTGGAAGACCCGAACCAAAATCGAGGACCCTTGTTCGCTTCCACTGCAGCGTACACGAAAATTGCTAGAGATTTTTACCAACAACTTTTTACTTCGGAATGTGGCCAACAGAGGAGAGAAGAGATTGAAGATTTCCTCAGGCCGCTTGATAAAACCCTCTCCGAACAACAAAAGGCCACTTTAGACAAACCACTATCCAAGGAGGAAATATGGTCGGCATTGATGCAAATGGAAGAGGAAAAAACTCCGGGCATCGATGGCTTGCCAAAGGAATTTTGGGAGGCCATGTGGGCCAGTATATCACAGGATGTGATGGACTACTACAATGCGGTATGGAATACAGGTCAAATAGGGGAATTGGTGGGGCAAGGGGTGCTGACACTACTCTATAAAAAAGGGGCAAGTACAAACATACGTAACTATAGGCCGATCACCCTGCTAACGGTTGTCTACAAAATGATGGCCGAAGCCCTCGCAAATCGCCTATCACCTGTAATGGCCGACATCATACACCCCGACCAAACGGGATTTATCCAAGGTAGAAATATCCAAGACAACATCCTCCTGGTCAATGAGATGATCCAACTAACAAGGCAGTCTAAGAGCAATGCAGCAATCATTTTCATTGACTTCGAAAAGGCCTACGATCACGTAGACTGGTGCTTCTTAGATATGTGTCTGAAAAAATTTAACTTTGGCCCTTCCTTTAGGAGATGGATAACGATCCTTCATGCAAATGCCACCACCAGAGTTATGGTGAATGGCAACCTGGCCCCGCCCATATCCCTTCAGAGATCAGTGAGGCAGGGTGATCCAATAGCCCCTTACCTATTTGTCATCATTATGGAAGCACTTGCGGAAAATTTGAGAACACAAAAGGATATCAAAAGAATCCAAATCTCTGCAATTCCCCAGGAGGTCGTTCTGGTATGCTCACTTTTTGCCGACGATCTAACCCTCATGGTGGAGGCATCAAGAGAATCACTGGAAGAAGTTAAAAACATGATGGACCGCTTCTCACAATATTCAGACATGAGAATCAACTGGGGAAACAAAACCCAAGGATGGTGGATCCACCACCAAGGGGCGAGGCCACCAGAACAACCCAAACTCAACTGGCTTCCGCAGGAAGTGCCCATCAGAGTGTTGGGGATCTTATTATCAGCAGAAGGCAGGCCACCTTCCAACAATGAATGGATCACCAGCCCACCCTTGACAAAAATGGCGCTTTGGAAGGACAAACATACGTCCCTGTTCGGACGCTCCTTGATCGTCAATAACGTGGTGTTGGCCGCTTTGTGGTATAAATCGGCAATCTGGGCACTGGATAAGAACGACTTACGGCACCTGAAACGGCAGATCGCTGCTTTCTTGTGGAGAGGTGACCACGAGAAATAGAACGTGATTAGCCGAGTAGCGTGGCACTCCATCATCCAGCCCAAAACACGTGGGGGCCTAGGTATCATTGACCCCTTGCTCCAAACAAAAGTGTTGGCAATCCAATGGCTCAAACGCCTGCTTTTTGACCCAGAAATCCCATGGAAAAGCCTGGCCCTGGAACAAATAGCCCGTCTGGCCCCACAGACATCGGACGTTAAGGACCCTCTTATGTGGCTAGAAAATAGAGATTGGCCAATCCCTAGAGCAAAAGTACAGCCACAGGATTGTGCCCCAGAGCACCCAAGACGAGCTGCAAGGTCTGACCTGCGAAAGGACCCCTTCTGGCCCAACCTCCTGAGAACATGGAGAAGCCTCCCCCTCCCGGACAAATGCCCGCCAGATAGATTGGAAGAAGTGGCACGACAACCGTTGTTTGGTAATAGATGGGTGGTGGATTCAAGAGGTCAGACCCTTCACTGTATGGCCTCTCCCTGGCAAGGCTGGGTCACAAGAGGAATGACAAGGATAAAGGACATATGGGACACAACAAAAAACGACTGGATCAGTCCAGACCAGCTAAGGGCGTGATTACGATATTGCCACCGGCCACTAGAAGCCTTGGATGAGGTCGTAGACAAAATTCCGCTGGAATGTTGGCGGCTATTGCGCAAAGGCCCGTTACTGCAGCAATCTGACTGGGTAGCGTTCCGGGCTATATAAGGAAAGGTAGGGAACGTGGTAAGCTGTCACCCTGATGGAACAGTGGTGGTGAGTCTCTTTCAAATAGGAAGAGGTAATGTCATAGAAAGAAGCAACCCAGAGGAGATAGGGATATACCAGAAAGATGCCGTCTTCATAATCAGAGTGTCGAGGGAGGGGGAGCAATGGGTAGCCTTCCTCCCCTACACACCAATCCACCATTTGCCTCTGGACCCGGCGGAATGGAAATGGACAACCCGTACAGGGAAGGGCAGGAGCCACACCAAGACCTTGTATAGCCGCACAGTTAAATCCACCTACAGACTTCTCAGGCCAAAGATCAATCTCCGCGATCAGGTTGAGGAGCGATGGAGACATCAGTTGAACATCCCCAAAGAAGAGTTGAGGCCAATCAAATTGTTTAGTGCAACTAAAATGACACCCGCCAAGTTCGCCTCACTTCAATGGCAGATCGAGCATCGCTGCCTACCAACCAACAACTGGCTCATAGACAGAACATCTGTAGAACAGAAGGGGTTAGCCTTACCATGGAGCAAGCTGTGCACGAATGCATTCCCATCCAGAAAACGGCCGGAGACAATCGAGCACATATTTCTACAATGCCCGAGCACTCTCTGGCTGTGGAAATGGTGGGATAGAATCTGGGACCAACTTCAGACAAAAATGGCGTGGCCCTGGGACTGGAGGGCCCTGCTATGTGAAGCCGAGGCCGTGGGCCAAGCTGACTCCCCTAATGAATTTACTACTAATCCGTTTAAGTTAGGACGCAGGGCGGTGCTCTGGGCATTATTGCGAAGACGCTGCACATACGAGATGGAAGGAGCACGACTAGAAGGCCCTGAATTTACAGAAAGTGTGCAACAACAGATTCAAATCGAAATCACCGCAAAATGGGAACATGTCAGAACAAAAATCCGCTCTCTAAACACAATCAAAGACATCGAGCAAAGAATCCAAGCATTCTCTTCAAGCTGGCTGGGGGGGATTACCGGCCCGGAAGATAGGGAAAGTGGAATGGGATGGGGCCAAACGGGAAGTTGCAGAGGGTCAAGAGAGGACGGAAAGACACAGGGATTACCAACTGATTTTCCACAACTGGGCTGACATAGACACAGCTATTCCACTGAAGTCCCCGAAAAACTTCCATGATTTCTTCCCCCCCCCCTTCGAATTGCCTGGTAGGAATGAAGTGGTATGGAATGGACAGTTGACTTGTGGTAAAAAAGGGGGAAGGGGGAGGGTCAGGTGCCAGTGTTCGCTGCAATAGAGGGGAGAGATGAGGATAGGTAGCCAATCTAGTCAGGCGCCCAGCAGCAGGGTGAAGAGTCCTCCTGGTTAAAAGCTCCCCCCTCAATCCCACCTCAACCCCATCTCTCATTTACTTCTCCTGTTCCGAGGTCTACATCACTATGATTCACACATGCCTGCTCAGTAAATCCCCTGGAGGCAGGGCAATCAATGCGGGCAGGCCTCACAATCACTGTTCTCACTGCTCTCAGGCATCATCATCTTGTATAAGGGACGCTGGACCCGTTTTCCAGCAGGTGATGCTCCCCACCAATAGATGGAGCCTCCCCCCAGGTGCTAGTGGTGTCTGCTCATATCAGCACCACTAACACTGAAGGGGACGTTTAAAAAAAATAATAATAATAAATAAATAAATAAATAAATGGATGGAGTGAGTTGGTGAGAGAAGGGGAATTTGTCATTGGCCTTTTGCGGGTACATCTTCTTCGTCTTCTTTCTTTCTTATTTCTGCTTCACCCTTTGTCTCTTTCTCTTGCAATTGAATGGCATTGTCTTTCCTTGTGTTATTGCATTGTCTTTCCTTGTCTTTCCTTGACGTTTGATCATGAATCGTTAGTAACATTTCGTAATGAATCTTTCTCCTACCGTTGCCGAACCGGGATGGAAGTTCCCTACATTTCTTTCCTGGGTGCAGAGTAACAGGCGTGGCAAGCGCAGGGCTCTATAACCCAAAAGGTTTTATGGCAGGCCGTATCTGCCTTTTTCCCCTGCTGAGAAATAAACAAGTCAGCAGTCCCTGCTCTCTCTCTCTCTCTCTCTCTCTCTCTCTCTCTCTCTCTCTCTCTCTCTCTCTCTCTCTCTCTNCTCTCTCTCTCTCTCTCTCTCTCTCTCTCTCTCTCTCTCTCTCTCTCTCTCTCTCTCTCTCTCTCTCTCTCTCTCTCTCTCTCCTTCCTTTTCTTTTTTCTCACTTGTTTAAGGGAACGTAATTCAACCTCTTTTGACTCTATTGTAACCATAATGATGAAGTTTTGAGATCATCCACCATGATCGTTTGATAAAGATTGATTGATGAAACTGACAAATACAATCACGTGACTCAAGTACGTAATACACACATTGTCATCAGCTGCAGCGTATGGACAGAAATCCGAAGATTATTATTAGGAGTGAGATGAAAGTTGAACATGGTTGTGTCCTTTCATCCAATGACATACGGCAACAAGAGTGAGAGCATCCATGATGATCATCATGATTATCTGCTTTGTCAAGCTTGGAATCTGACAGTGTGTGTGTCCTATCACATATCATATTATGGCCACAAGACAGGAACAACCTACTACAGACACTTCCGCACATGGACAAGGAACTGATGATGACATTGGACTTTTTGCTGCCATTGGTCTTGAACTTTGTTGATCTATGATCCAATTTCTGCGAAGAACGTCTTCGACGGCTTCGGCGGCACGGGTTTCCCTTTCGACTGTGATCCCTACGATCCCCGCTTTAGACCATGGTGAGCCACAGATGCCTTTCTTTTTCTTTCATTTTTTTAACCTGATCTATATTCTTCTCTCAATCTCTCTCTCTCAATATGTTTCCTCATATATATCATCCTCTCCCTACTCTATGTATATTACAAGGGAACACCAAGCAACCTGGATCTTTCCCCAGTCCAGGGGGTAGGTTTGCACCACTGCGGTGGTCCAAGAGCAAGGTTGTACCAGCCCCTCGTCGTGGTGATGCGGGGTGGGCGGGATTTGTCTATTGGGCGAAACCGACAGTGCTACTACCGTCTTCACCCGAAAATAACGCCCGGGCGTTATATTCAACTTACCCTAAAAAGATCAGATTTTTGTTTTTACTCTCTTTTTCTCAAACAGACCACCCTTTCGAATAGATCGCCCGGGCGTTATGTTTGAATGTTCCATGGGCAGAGTGTCTTGTAGAGGTAGTGTACACGGATTTGAAAGGGCGGGGAGGGAGATATACATGATTTTTAAACGGGGTTGAAAGGGGTTTTGACTTCCAGGGAGCATATTTCAGTTTGATTTTTTGTTTTTATTTTTTATTTCAGAGTTTATAAGGAATTTTGTAGTGACCCTCAGCCAAAAGATGGTCGCATTGCAATTCCGGACAACATATTGTTTTTACAGAATTTTTTGAATTTTTTTTTTCATAATTTTGGGCCCCCACCGAAGTTGTCACCAATTTACTGAATATAACGCCCGGCGGGCGTTATATTCGTTTTTTTTTTGTTTTTTTTTTTTTAATGGGAACAAGGCTCCAATCTATTTGTGAGGAGCAGCAGGTGCTGGGTACCGGGCCCAGCGTCCCATATGGAAATTTTTACATAGAAGTTTTGAAATTTTGGGATATATTTGAGATACCGAGGCCATTACCCATCTTTGGCTAAAGAAAATTTGAACTACTTAGCAAATTACTACGACGAACTTCAGGAATGAGCAAAGTTCAGAAAATGACTCAGAAACCCCCCATCAATCCTCTTTACCCCACTCTGGCAAGACTTACTGCAGCAGAGCCACCATCTCCACTGTTGTTGTACCCTATTTCTGTCCTACAAGCTAGCCCCCTCACTAGTAGGACTGTTGATATCCAACCATCTACTTCTCCATGCAGAGGGCCCTTTTGTTTTTTAAAGAGCATTCAGATCGAGAAATACCTGCCTTAGAGCCTTTCAGCAGCTCACCCCTACCTGCCTCATCCCTATATCCCGATACTTAGTCTCTACTAGGCCTCACGCCCCCAACTGCTAGGTTATAGAGTGGCACGACCCACCCTAGAAGACTCCCACCTGCTAGGCTACAGGGCAAAATGACCCGCCCCGGCTCCGACCAGCATCGTCTAAGTACCAGCTTACCAAAGGACACTAGAGTGCCTTCCACCCTCGACAATTCCCCAGATCTCTCTACCAGGTCTCTTGCCCTCGTACAAGTCGAGTTACGGGGCAGCGCGACCAAGCCCCATCACCGACCAGCGTTGTTTTGGCCTCATCCATTCGGAAGCCCACGGGGACCCAAGACTACAGCAAATACTAGACAAGCCACCAATCAGCACCATAACTGTAGATCCGATCGCTCAGCTCCTTCGGGTGCTGGTTGCAGATATCCCTGGCACATAAAATCCCTCACAACCCTACTCCGGTATGTCTTACTGCGATGAAGTCGCCATCTTCTCCGCTGATGTACCCTATTTCCACCCTGCAGGTTAGCCCCATGGCCGCAAAGCGCATTATCCTCCACCATCGCAACCCTGGCCCCCTGCCACCAGCACCAGCTTATAAGGGATTTTCTTTTCTTTTAATCAAAAAATTCAATCTCATTCAAGAACATATTCAGAAATAAAAAAGCTATGAAAAACAAAAAGACGAAAATAAAAAATAGAGCCACCAACAATCCAACTCAGACCCTCGCTACAGACAAGAAACCGCCGCTCAGGCTTTCAGTCCTCGTACCAAAAATCGTCAGTTCTCACACCCCCCTTGATAGGGTTACAAGGCAACACAAACTGCCCCAACACCGAACTAACTGTTTTCTGATGGACAGGAAGTACCTTCCTCCCTTGACTACTTCCTTAGTTGAAACCCCCCTAGCGGGTTACTGAATCACCGCCCCAGCATCAGCTACGTTGAAAGAAGTGGTTATGCTTTCCACCCTCGGCATAACTCCAATGGCCTCAAACTCCTCTTGGTCACAGAGCCACTGCTCCAGCACCGGCCAATGTCGCCCCACCCCGCCCTTCTAGTAGACTTACTACCCTGAGCAACCCTTCCTCTACTGCACAAGCCCACCCAAAATTCCTCCAAACCATACTTCCAACTTTCACCTTCCCATTTAAGAAAGTCAAAAGGAAAAAGGACAAGAGCTAGAATCACTAACAATACGTCTCCTTCCCTCACCACAGATGAAGGACACGCCGCCCAAACTTTCAATCCTCGTACCAAAAATCATCAGGTCTCATACCTCCCCCCGCTAGGGTTACAAGGCAACACAAATTGCCCCAGTACCGACCTAACTGTTTTTAACGGACAAAGAGTGCCTTCCCCCTCGACAATTCCCTTTACTGTATGGCCCCTTGAAAGGTTATAGGGTCACCGCCCTGACAACAGCTACGTCGGGCGAGATGGTTATGCCTTCCACCCTTGGCATAACTTCAATGGCCTCAAGCTCCCCTTGGTCACAGAGTGAATGCTCCAACACCGGCCAATGCCGTCCCACCCCACCCTTCTGATAATCGACTTACCACCCTGAACTGCCAATCCCTCCTTTGAGTGAACCCCCCCACTTCCCACCTGCCTCTAATGCGACCTTCCCCCTTTCGTTTGCAAGACCACATCCTAGCAAATTTGAACTACAACTTATGAAAAACTACATCAGATTTAGAATTAGATCAAGGATGGATAAACATAGGACATCAATTCCTCTTTGAGAAAATACGAATTTAAAATTAAGAATCCTGCTAAGAAAATACGAATTTCAGATTAAGGATCTTGCCCAGAATAGAACACGAATTTCAGATTAAGAATCAATTACATCCAGAAAACACCTAAGATCTCATGAATCAGATTTTAAACAAATCACAATCATAAAAACGAAATCTTTTAAAAACAACCTCTGAAAAAAATTCAGAAAAAACAGCCACAACTCTGGAAAAGTTAGGTGAAAAAATCATGACGAATTAGAAAATTCAAATCAAAAATCATGAACTAAAATCATCAACGAAAAGTCAACCTCACGATGAAAAGCTTGGTTATCAAAACATTATTAGTAGATTTCGAATTATAAGACGGCCAAGCCATGCGTGGGCTGAATCCTAATCCAATAAAAAGCAGTCTCCCATCCCTTCTTCCTCAACCAAGCCACTTACCTCACACCCCTCAAACCCTACCCCTGCGTCTTTGGGGAAGGAAAAACTCCCTTCCTCCCTGTGTAACCATTTGAACGCCGTGAACGCGCGTTCGCGTTCAAATGTGCGTTTGAACGCGGATTACGCGTTCGCGTTCAAAATTGAACGGCGTTCAATTATTTTTCTATTTTTTATTTATTTTTAAATCATTTTGATGCCTAAAAATAACTTTTTTTTTCTGATTTTTTTTTATGAGTTCTGTATGATGTGAGGTACATGCCTCTCAATTTTGGAGTCATTTTGCTAAGGCCAAAAAAAATGAAAAATGGCCAAAGATGGCGGTGTCAAATCGTGTTCGCTCATTAATTTCAATTCTTTTTTTACTTTTTTCTATTTTCTGTTTTCTATTCTTTTTTCCAATTTGGTAGCGAATTTAGATGTAATGCTCAGGCAAATGTTGTTTATTTTATTTTTCTTCATAACATATTTGTTTTTCGGAATTTCCTGAGTTTTTTTTTTTTTTTTTTTTTTTCCTGCGCGCAATTGAACTCCGCGTTCGGTCCCGTTCATTGAACGCGCGTGCATTCCGTTCAATTTCTGAACGGAAAACCCGCGTTCAATGAACGCGTGGTTTCACTGCTTCCTCCCACTGCTAGCATGTAGGCTAAAAGCAAAGCAAGCACCAAAGACATGAACGGTCAATCCCCGAAAGGAAATCGAAAACAGTGTGGCACCCCCTCGCCAAACCTGTTGACGAGTCGCCATAGGGGGTTCAAAACCACCTAAACTGTACCCAGACCATACTGTTGAGGAAGAGGGAAGGGTTTCAAAAAACGAGGACGACAAGCCCCAACCTAGTCCAGCGACTCCACACCTCCCTGCCCATCTGCCCCACCCTCCTCCCCCCTACCTTACCACCCGTGGTTGTTCCCCGTCACTGCCCAACACACCCCATCTCCTACCATGCGCCACCATATCCCACTGTCCACCTCGTCGCCAGTCTCCCGTACATACCCTTCTATCGCCTCGTGTCCTTGCGTCTTCGCCCACCGCGTCGCCTGGCTCTCCGGGAGATCCGCGTCACGCCTCTTCGTCTTCCCGGGCATTATTTTCGAGTGAAGACGGTAGTGCCGACCATTAGCAGTGTCTAATAGCCAATAGCGTTGTTGCATAGCACCCAACAATATTGGCCAAGGTCCTTCCAATGCTGGCTGGGGGCGGTTTGGGCTATCTCTGGATAGTAGGACACCAAGTATGCCCAGGCGCATACTTGAGTCCAGGTCAGAACCCATAGCCTTCTGAATGCAACTTGTTACAGCAATTAGCCTACCTCAGTTGGTACACGCATGAACTGTTGAATTACGCAGCCAAGTTTGAAGCCTGATTCGAAAAGAAAAAAAAAGATTAAAAAGAAGGAATTACAAAGAGGCCCACTATAACGTAAGATTCCTCTTTTGACCCACACAAACCATAACGAACCATGGCGAAATACTCACACAAACCATGGCAAAAGAGAGCTATGAAAGCCCGACCATTTAGATCCATAATCCATTTATTCCCAAAAAGGGGCTGACGTAAGATTTCCTCATAACGAGAGGGAAAAGAACGATTGGGTAGAAGCACATGGTGCCAAGTTCTCAACAACGAGACCCATAAATTATCTAATAGGAGTTCACTTCGAGCTGCCCCTCTCACCCCCTCTTCCTTTGACTTTGCCTTAGTATGAGGGATACAGCAAAAGAGGTCTTCCGCCCAGGTAAGGGGATCTATGTCTTCAGTGCTACGCAGGGCAAGTCTGTGAATTTGCTACAAGGCCAAAGTCTGCCATGGCTTGTCGATGGCTAAGGTCACTTCCTTTATCCATTGAAGAGATAAAGCTTGACTTTGTAGCATTGGGTCAAGTAACCCCAACCCAGTGAACCCACCCTTTGATTTGGGTTGTATTAAAGAAAGTCAGGCTACTTGAGGTTTTACTGTCTCTTGTTCATGATTACCCCTCCATAGAAATGTCGTAACCTGTTTCTGAAGGATTTTAGTACGAGGTTTTTTTTTTTTTTTTTTTAAGCTGCCTTCTCCTCATCGGGGGACAGCCATATATTTTTCTCTCAGCTCACATATCTTTCCTTAACTGGCGTTCTGCCATGTCATGGAACATATCTTTCTTTTCACTGCCTACCACTACTCCTAAGGCTATACAGGGGACCCCTGCAAGCATAGCTTTCTACCTCTCTTCGGTGAAGGGAGATTACCTCTCTCGGTGGAGAGGGGTAACGGCATGTTTGCCCCTTTGCCCTAGCATTTTAGGGTGCAGGGTTGGGGCCGCCGGTGAGGGCCCGACTAACACAAGGACTGAGCATTTGCCAGTAACTGTGCCTCCCTTTGCATCTTCCCCCACCCCCATCGGGTAACAGTAGTGTCTAAAGCCAACACTCTCCCGCGCACCACACTCAACCCACTCACATACGCACTCACACCCGTGTTGGCTGAAGACCTTACTGATACCGACTGGGAGGATCCAGCTGACTATCTCAGTTAGTTGGCACCAAGAGTGCTACAGGCGGCCATGGGGATTGAACCCACGACCTCCTGAATGCCATTTGCGTGTTTGTTGATTGCCCAAAGTGCAGATTTATACCAGATTAACGTTAAAACCAGATTATTAATAACCAATGCCCTCCCAAAAATCGAAGCATGTTGATTCTTCCATTGGTTCATTTTTTCAAGTGTCGGACGTGAGATGCAGTCATCATTAAAGGCAAGTTTTCCATGAGTTGAAGGTGATACCCCTAGTATGCGCACATGGGCCTCCAGAGGCAACCAGCGCACCCTAGGAATTTCCGGGGGACGAACCCCATTCGAATGAATCCTCCAACCTTGAGTTTTACTGCCCCAGTTCACTACCATGTCCGAAACGCTTGAGAATTTATCCGACATAAACTTAATTTCCTTCATATTAGACTCACTTGCCTCCAACATTATGGTTGGATCGTCTGCAAACATGGAATGGATTGGTATTGCATCATCTGGTATCCCAGATATCCGAAGACGTTGCAGGTTGTGGTTCGAGGGCCTAAATGTTACCATGTTCAAATTTTCCTTGGTGGCTATTTCAGGTTTCAACAGATTTCTGGGCCGCAGAAGAAGGTGTCCATCCTTGTACAAGGAGCGAGCATGATGTGGGAGCCTCTGAAGAATAATCCATTGGAGACGCAGACAGGCCTGGATGCACTCAAGCAACTCCTTGTTGTGCTCAAAAAGACCTTCGCCGAGCACGACAGAATATTTCTGACAACAGAAGTGTCAGAAGGCAACATCAACCGGACAGTAAGAGAGTCACCTGTCACACCATTCAAAACACAAATCCCCTTGAAAGACAAATGGAAATGAAATCCTCTACCCTGTCCACATGACTCTTCATGTCATCACTCATTCTCTGCGTGTTTCTCCCTTTTTTTTCTAGGACCCCGCAGCCGAAATTCCTGCTTATGTGATGATGCAAAACTCAAACATGAGACAATGTCATTCGTAGCAACTGATGTAGATGAAGAATGGTCTTCCCCAGGCAATCATGCTGGTGGATTCCAAATCTTACAAATCTTTTTCCAAATTCTTTCCAAACAATTTATGTAAGAGGGACGCTGGACCCGGTTTCCAGCAGGTGCTGCTCCCCACCAATAGACGGAGCCTCTGTTAAAAAAAAAAAGGAAAAAAAAAAGAGTTGACGAGAGAAGGTGGATGGAAGAAAGAATAAGAATTAAAATAGAAACAACGGCGGACGCGGCATGTTTTGAGTTTTTGGCCTTCGGCGACTGTGTCAGGGCCTGAGTTCGAAAAGGCGTTCGTAACTCAGGACGGCAGTGGTGTCAGGGTGG